TATATAAATACACACCTGAGAGTAAAGACTCCCACACAGCGAGCAGCTCCATTGCAGCTGCACAAACAGGAAACACACCACGTGACCTTTGACCTGACCCACAGTGCAACTCTGCCCCCCGCTCATGGCCCATGGACCCAGATGCATGATGGGAGCAGGAGGAGGCGGAGCAGATCTAAAAATGAAACAATAAAAAAGATTGAACTGGATAAAGAACGAAACAAATAAAAACATCAGTGGTGTTAATGAGTCGTTACCTGGAGTCTCCCAGAGAGACGACACTGACGGAGCTGACAGGTAACATGCTGCAGTACACACCCCCTGACCTGAAACACACACGGTACACAGGTCTGTGTGAGTGTGTGTGTCAGTGTGTACGTGTGTGAGTGTGTGTGTGTGAGTGTGTGAATGTGAGTGTGTGTGTGTGTGTGTGTGTTACCTGGACAGCCTCCTCTGGAAAGCAGACAGCCTCAGTGTGTTGCCTGGCAACAGGCCAGGTGGGTAGGGTGTGTGGCTTAAGTCCAGGTACACCTTGAGACTCCTCCCACCTCGGTCACACATGGTGAGACGTACACCTAAATGTTTTCACGAACACACACACAAGTGTGTTAAACTGTTGTTTCTACACACACATAAGTGTGTGTCTGTGTTTTTACCTGTGTGTGTGTGTCCACAGTCAGACGTCCTGTTGTTCAAACTGATTCTGTCCAACACCAGACCCTGAAAACACACCAGCTCTGAGCTGCACACACACACACACACACACACACACACACACACACACACCCCATGTTGCTTCAGTGCATGTTTATTAAAGCAGCAGCCACAAGGGGGCGTCAGTGTTTACCTGCAGTCCAGGACGTCAGAGACAGACAGGACTGTGGGCGAGAGAGCCTGAGGACATAGAGAGAGAGCGAGAGAAAATAGAGAGAGAGAAAGAGAGAGAACAGGCTTTAACTTCTCTCAACGTGTGTGTGTGTGTGTGTGTGTGTGTGTGTGTGTGTGTGTGTGTGCGTGTGCATCTACCTGTCTGCAGGTGTGCAGCGGCAGTGGGCGTGCCATGGTGTGGAACCTCCAATGGGATTGGATCTGTAGGGTGGAGTCAGTGTGCAGCTCCACTCCACTCCGCCCAGAAACATCACAACCAATCAGAACACTGGGATCCTGATGGACATGGAGTTTGTCATGTGATCATGTTTTGAATTTAGTCTTTTTATTTTATTTTAGCATCTACAGCTGAGTTAGCCTGAGCGTTAGCATCCACAGCTGAGTTTACCTGAGTGTTAGCAGCTAGAGGTGAGTTAACCTGA